CCTCTAGGTCTACAGACGTATGTGCAATACAATAATATTGAATCTTTGTATTTCTGTGTCTTAAAACGTAACATCACATTTGTAGTTTGTTTCAATCTTAAACATACTAAATATATACGGAAGTACAAGTATTAACGTAAAATATTACGAAAATAACATTTCTCAGATATGGTACAAAATTAATTCTACTATCGATCCGTTCATTATGCGGGTTTTAAGTATCACTGTACACGAATACAACTTAAAATTACAATATAAAAATATTGACCGTATAACAAAAATGGTAAAAAAAGGAATTCCGTTCGCATGAGTCGCGAGAACTGTAATAATACGATGCTAGCTTAAAGATATCACTTTTTATCAATTTTCTTAAATTAGAGCGCTAGATCACATTCAAGGTATTTACCTCTCATTGTTCATGGCACAGCTATAGCTTCGTAACGTACACTTCCATTGCACGTGTTCATCGTAAACGCTTCTTGCGGATGGTCTTCGAAAGTAGCACGAGTTGTACGTAACTGTGTCCTTCTCGCATATTGATCAATCTGAAAATGTTCGGGCAGAGACGTAGAGAAAAGATCTCGATCCAGAAGACGATTCTCGATAGGGCCTTACCTGCCCTTCTCCTGCTGCTGTATGTGAACTCTGTCGCCCCTCCGTAAAGGAGTTATCACGCTCGTATAACAAGAGACTTCCGTGGCTGAGGTAGAAGACGCTGTCGAGCATTTTACAAGCTTCTCCGTATTAGATTTCCCCTCGGAATTCAATAGTATCCAATAAGAATAGTTGGTCGGTTCACCAAAATAGAAAATCTGAAAAAAAAACGCGCGAGCATGAACAACGGGTAGCGGTAAAACCAGCGGTCGAGGCATTACCTGTGCAGAGATCATGTATAAACCAGTTTGTGTAACTTCGATGGATCTCTTGTCTTCTACCAAATGAAACTTGTTCAAGCTGTATTGCGTGTCGTTCTTGGTGCTCCTTACCCACGGGCCAATGAACACTGTATCCGTCACGTGTTGTTCTGGGATCGCGCCAACGAAAGTGGCTACCAAAGGTCCTGGACAACGGTCAGAAATTCTAGTTTTTACATTCGGCATAAAACGACGGTGTTTCAATTAAGCAAAACGAATCATTGACAAAGCGACTTGTAAACTCGTTATATGTTTGAAACTGAATGATCACCTTCGATTACAAACGCGCATGCTAGCTAATACTGAGTAATACTAAATACCCAATCGCCTGTGACTGCGTTTGGGCCGCCTTTTGTTCTTTCCCCGTTTTTTACCTCTTCCCTCGTCCCTTTTTGATCTTCCGGATCGGGGTTCTCTCTGCATACCTAATCGTAATTCGTCGTCGTCATCGTCATCGTCATCGTCAACGTTGTCGTAGTAATTCGTAGTCGTATTATCATCGGCGATCATCTCTCGACTCGATCGAATCTCCTTGTCCGTCGTTGCATTCTCATTCTCTATCGCCAGTATCGCCCTCTCAATACGTAAATTATTATTCCTCGTGCTACTTTCGTTATCCTCAGACTTTCTCAATGATCTCGAGACTGTATTTTCGTTTTCATTTCCGTTTCCATCATCGTAAACTTGGTCTCGTATCGTATGATCCTCTTTGGAACTCCTTATTGAATTTAAATGCGGAAGTGCGCGATTGTACGCGCGGGAACTCTCGTTTCGAACTTCGTCGAGGTTTTCAGTCGTATCTTCCAAAAGCCTTTCAGCGTCGTGTGATCTTTTATTAACGAGCAGCTTTTCGAATCGTCGGACCGAGACTCGATTTAAATTCCTATTTAGCCTATCGTACTTAGACATTAACAACAATAAATTCATGTTTACCGATTGCACCTGAAACGACGAATGAACGGCATGAGAAAGAATGATCTCTAGTTTTACAGAATACGCTTGTGATCGATCGATTACCTGTGCTTGCAAAGCGCGCACTTCTGTCCTCAAATGGGACAGTATGACTGCGAAAACGATCGCTAAGAGGAAGAACACGATTGTGCGAGATCTTTGGAATAACTTTGACTGCTTCGCGTTGGACACGGTCACTTTCATATCCACGTTCCACTCGATTTTCGCCGCGCTCTTCGCCGGGTTGTCGACCTGGACGCGTCCCATCTCAATCTCCGTCGCCATTTCCGATCTCGAGTACCGATCGACTGTGGAAGCTCGCTCGCTATCGGCTAAACAATTCCGATTACGCGTACACGCTGATTATCTTCGGTTTTAAACATTTTATTTCAATCTACGTTCGTTTATAATCTCGCACACTTGCTTTTCAAGCGAACAAGGTAGTGATACTTATTGATTGCTATCAACAGATTTATCGTTATCGTATTGGACTTACGAGAAGCACATTTATTGAAGGATCACTAGTACTACATAGACGAAGATAGAGAGACGAAAATTGTAGTCCAATCACGTGGCTCATAACGCGGTACGAGTACGATTTATCGGAACATCTCCGGACCGACTAAACGATTTCAAAAACAAGGAACTACATATAAGCTGCGCGTCGATTCGTCATTAGACTTCACTTTACTCGACTTCTCGTATTCATGTCGCGTTACACGCTGATGTGTCAGCGATTGTTAGAAAGAAAGGAAACGAACACATGGGATTTCTTTGATACGCGCCACGGTACCCCTTCCAGCATGCTTATCAGCTATTTCTCTCATTCCAATACGACACTCTTTCTTTCATGCGGTGGCAATCTCGATATTATTTCAATTCAATTTCTCGCCCGTCGAATATTCGCGCCAACTTTCTCAGGCGTAAAACATTACCGTGTCCGATGTAACGTTCGTTCCTGAACGAGACGACTGAAATGATTGAAAGCGAGACGTACTCGATCGTACGATTGATTTAATACAAACGCGTTGCTATAGAAGTAAGAAATTCTCGCTCACCCCGACATTCTCTCCTCTCGGATTTAGCAGCAGGGAGCAACAGGTGAGGTAAATCGATCCAGAATCGATTCGACGGTAGCGGCTGCGAGCTCACCCTCTGCTGCGTACCTGCTCCTCCTCGTGGTGGGCGCCCTGTTCCCGTTACCTTTCCATCTCTTTTGTTTACGTAGCCAGCTCCCACAGACCCCACGGATACAGAACGAAAGCGTCTCCGAGCGTCACGATGACCGGTTTAGCCGCTCGGGCGGCTGTCCCCTTCGAGCGTTGCCAACATTCGCCTAGCAAGACACTATGTCCCTCGCTTACAGATTCCCGCGCTTACCTCCACCTTCAACGTTCGATCACTATCCTACGATATTTGCTTCTAATCCCTTTTCACGATTACAGGTAAGATTGATAAGATCACGCAACGATAATGAGACTCGGAAGTTTTGCTTCGATAATATATTAAATCCAAAAGAGTCTCGCTCACGTTTTTCCTTCGGACAGGATTCGCATTCTATATTTATATGGACGATAAGAAATCGCAGCTGTTTCACATGTTAGGACTTCATCTGCCAGATGCCCACGCGAAGGTGAACGTCGTATCAGCAAGAAATGATCAAGGGATTTTAGAAAGTTTCCGGGAGATGCGACAGACGACGTTCTGTTCTGAACCGTAGCCGAAACTCGTTTTCAAGGACTCCTGATTTCGCAATCTGGATGATCGGATCGAGATTCCAATTCTCATCTTAGTCTTCCTCCCTAATTCGTTGGAGACGTTAAAGATGATACCGAATAGATTTTTTTCTTCAGCTTATCATTACACAAGCTGTTCACTGCTCTCACTTGACTCTTCCAAGTTTTTATTCTCGATAGGACACAGTCAATTCTGAGAATCAGCGGCTGGATACGATTTTCCCATAACGGTGCATTCGATCGACTCTACTTTTACGGAACTCTTGATGACACGTCTCAACGTTTTCCAAACAAAGACGTCGAACTCGAAAGACGATATTGAGAAAGGAGTAAGACGATAAAGGATAAGGGGAGTATCGTTCCCGACGATAAAAGCATAAAAAGGTTGAGCAACTCGGTGTGCATATTTACATAGCGGGAAGTTCCGCTGCGGCAGCGGATTGATTCAGCGATCATCGTCGCAGATTATCTCCGCCTCTGCCGTACCTGATTCACATCCTCTCCTTCCGTCGGGGGGAGGTTTAAAGCTTAAACTGTAGGTAGTTAGCAGAGAAAACAATTGCCGCTTATTCGTCACGATTACATATTATCCGTGACATGTTGAGCTCTGGTTCCTCGGTTTGAAATTGAAGGTACATTGAACCGTGGATTTTCAGCTTGTTTTATTTTCCACTTAACGAAGCGTATAATTTAATTCTCTTTTCGTGATTCATAGTAAGATCTCGTTGCCACAGTCGACGATGAGTGGCAGAAAAACGGCGAGTAGGCAGCGAGGAAATGAGGAGAAAAAGCGAATTAAATAATTGACAGGGGCCACGGTTCGAAGCGCTGCTCGTAAATTGATCCAAATATCTACTTCTCTAGCCTTCCTACACGGATCGGGCCAATTAAGTGTCTCTGGAACGTGCGCGATGACTAATTAGGATCGCGACTCGGAGAACTTTATGATAACGATGCCGTATTTATCAGGAACGTGTCGTCGAGACGATCCACTTTCATTTTCCTCGATCAGCACATAACGGAACACAATGCATCCTACAAACCTAGTAACGTCTCGGATAAACTCGAGTCATCTCTAGTTTCGGTCCTCTGTTAAACGAACTTCCCTCGACGACCCATTTTAATAATTCATAAATTCGTTTACCGCGCATTGTTCTCTTGAAATCTTATCACGACAAGAATCCAGTTTACCTGCTCAAATCATGATTTCCACGAAATCAGGCATTGCTACGAGTAACCGCGTTAATCGCGCACGTATACGTATGCATGCACTTCCTGCTTCGGAGCGTTAACAAGCTGGTCGATCACCGGTAATCTTTCGCCGAAAGGAAACAAGGAGAAATTCCTGTGTCCCATTCTCACGCTACGCTCGTCGTCGTCTCAACGACGCACGGTTCCAGCCGTTGCTTGGTATCAAATTCGTTATTCGTTCCTGGGAGCTGCGACGCAGGTTCGCAACGCGGATGATTAAATTCCGCTCGGAACTTTTTCGTGGAACGTGTGCGCCGTATGGGAAACCGGCCAGCCCTTGTGGGCGTGCAATCGTTCTCGTTTCGCGAAATCGAGCGCAGTAAGTGCTTGCTTACGTGCAGCGGAAAGTATTAGCGACCGGTCACGAGACACGATTCCGTCTTAATTAATTATGTTACAGTTAAACCGAACTGGAGGTGAATTTCTCAAACTGTTAACGATTGGAATACTATTTTAATATCTATAGCTTCCGATTTCTCAAACGTATTCCATCTCAAACATTAAACATGAACACTCGTATACGAGTAATTTAATTCTGTACAGAGAATCGCCGGGGGAGGTGCGCAGGGTCCAGAGCTGCATCTCTGGATCATTGATCTACGCCAGTGACAATGAGATCCAGAGGCGCTTCGACCGATAAACTCGGGCGAGTTCCACTGCCGTTGATCCTACTAGCCAGTAGCGCCGTGTCTCTCGGCGACGTTAGTTCTCTCTTCTCTTCTTCAAGAGCGATCGAACTCTTTACCGAACATCGATTTCGTTAAATGATTATAGACGAGAATTCGAGGAATCCAGAGGATAGAACTTCGATGTAAGGGCGAGTCTCGGCGAGGGAGTAGGTATAAATTGTGAAGAGGCAGGTAGACGGGAAAAGAGAGACGAGGGTCGAATATTGGCCGCGCTCAGCTGTGGTCCCCGCGCTTCTCATCTGGAGGGGAAAAAAACCCGCCGGGCAGGTCTTAAAGACAACCAGGACCAGGATACGCGGTCAGGCATTTAACATCGTAGATCATCGTGAACCTTGCGGAGCTGTGGAATCAGATGGACGACTCCCCCGGTTCTATCGTTAAATGACGATAACTAAAACGTGCAAATAAACACGTCTTGATGAATTTAACGATAGTTCGAGTTTGTGGTCTACACAGTGTGGCGAATACCAGGGGATTATGTCACGGTGATTGTAAAAACAACGCGGGCTTTACGATAAGTTAAAAACGTCTCAATAGCTCGAACACCGGATCAGAAGAGGATTGAGATTGTCGGGTGAATTATTTTATACCTTGGTTCGTGATCGAATCGCGATGACTTCCGTGTTGCCGGAAGCAGAATCGAAAGTAACGAGCATGAAGCAAAAGCTGAACGATCTTCGCAGGAAGGAGGAGGCGCGATCGTTCCTCAGCTTCTCCAGAGAGAACCTGAGCATCTCCCAGTCCGACATTGAACAGGGTTTCAGCAAGTATCGTATGCAGCCGTGGAGAAACACGATCTTGTGTCTGCTCGCTCTGTTTCTCAGTCTCGTTTGTCTGGGCGTGGAAATCTCCAGGTTCCATTATACTACGGTAAACACGCGTGAGATCGAAGATTTGAAACGGACCGTCGAGAGTTTGAAGCATCGCCTGTTGAAGGAAGATCTCCTCGACGAACTGAAGGCCTTCGAGGAACAGGTACCTTGACTCGGTTCGTCTATTTTTCTCTGCGGCCGTCACGCGCCGGTCGAGTGCACCACGTGTAACACAAACTTAATTTACTTGCAATTACAAAATTGCTCTCTTCAAAACTACTTCTCATGAAAGCTCTTCAGATATGCGCACGGTTATTAATAATTGTCGACGTGTCGGTATTAATTATGCAACGGTCTGTTGAGATTTATCTATCGGGAAAGAAAGAAAAAGTATAGATCGGGTTATCGATGAATTGGTTAATAGTGGAGGTCGGAGATAAGCGAATAAACGATAACAACAGTGGCTCGTGCGCTGGCACAGGTTCCTAATCGGTTCGACGACCCGCGGCCGATCAATCAACAGGTTTTTTTATCAGTTGCATCACTACGTGGATTCATCTGTGGATTAACACACGCGAATTGCACCTACAAGTAATAAAATGTGTCGTAGAGGTAAATAAATGTTCTCCATCTGATTGCAGTTGTACGCCGAGTCGAACGATGATGACCCGAGCGAAACGGACATCGACAATATGGATTACGAGTCTAATTACGACGAGGAAAATTTCTCATCGCACGATTACTCGTCGGATTATCAGGATATTCCAAAATACGGCGCGAAACCGTCCGATTTCCCGGATTCGACGATCGCACCAGTCCCCACGCCACCAGAACTCAGCACGAACAAAGCGATAGTGGAGGAATTGTTAGCGGCGGTGCGCAAGGTTGAGACGAAGCAGGAATTAAAGAAATCTCATAGGCATGACGATCGTCAGGAAAAGGAGTACAACGAGCTGAAGAACAATACCGAGAACTTGACGATCTCGAAGAGTAAACGATCTATAGAGGAAAGTCACGGTTCCAAGAGAGTAAATAATAGGCGTCAGGCTAGGATCAAGATGAGGCGGATGCGGAATGCCAGTTCCACTTCTTGGGATACTTTAGAAGACAGAAGCGAACTGGGGCAAAACAAGTCAGTTTCAGATTTTCAATCGACCGAACGATCAAGCGACAGTTGAAATAAGTTCATATAAATCTTGCATTCTAGGTCCAGTAGGTATCCACCAAAGAAGTACACTCATTCGGCCAAAAGAACCGTCGACTCGGTGAACGCTAACGGGGAATTAAACTTGAAGAGCATGGTCGGGAATCGGACCAAGAGAGTTCCTCACCAGATGCAAAAACAGGCCCATCGTACGCAAGATACGGTCGCTTTTCACTTCCACGGGAATGTGGAGGCCAGAGGTATCGAGTCTCATCAGAACGGAAAGATTCGTCACACGTCCAGCGTGTTCACAGCTTGGAAGCAGAGCGATTGGGTCAGTGAATTCAACATGAACCGGCATTTCGTTTTGGCCGAGGACGGAAGGCTTACCGTTAACACGGCAGGATTGTACCTGGTTTACGGGCAAATCCATTACTACGACGACAGTGAGCAGCTTGGGTTTCATATCGAAGTGAACAATAAGCCTATCCTTAAGTGCGTGGTGAGTAGTCGTACACCGTGCCAACCGAGTGAGTGACAGAACCGAGTGTATAATCATCGACTATTTTTTTTAATTTTTTAGCTCGACAACTCGATTGGTCAGCGGAATATAAGTCAAACCTGTTACTCGGCTCAAGTGATCCCTCTGAAAGGGAACGATATTATAGTATTTAAGGAAATCACCTTCACAAGGATCGTAATCTTCAACAAACTGAACAGCTTCTTCGGGTTAGTAAAACTTGGGGAATTGCCAAATAACTGACACTGAAAACTCAGTCTACCGTTCAAGTGCCAGTGGAACAATCCTGTTCCGATAAATAGATACTAATTTATTGACTGACAACGCACGAAATGGAAATCGAAGTTCGCTATCATTGAGAGACCGTCGAAGGCACACCACGTTAACGAGTATCGTTGGTATCGTTTTGAATCATATTAATTATCAATGTAAATAAGATTCCTACGCTAGGACTTTAATTTTAATCAATTTCTTTTATTTAGAAGAGAACCAATTTTAACTGCCCAAAGAAAGAAAAAATGAGTGTATGCATGTGTGATGGAGCGAGTGATCGAAGCTAGAATGGAATAAACATTAACTGATGTACCCAGAGTGGCAATAAAGCAAACATCAGATTCGATAATCATGTATTACGTATCATCGGAGCATAAAATATCGCATGACAGTTTTTTCTCACAGTATGATCTAGCTCGGCGGCTGCCTATCGGAATCAGATCGCCGGGAAACTCCATCAAATCGACGATAAAATTCGGCTTCAACAGTTTCGTTGGGAAAACGGAGCTAGAATTATCCTCGAGCATCGTATCTTTACTCATTACATTCTCCATCTGTCCAAGCTGACTCTTTCGTTCCACGAGATATTGCTTCAAAGGTTGCAGAGGCTCGTAAACCGTGATGAATTCCGGACAGTCGGCACTTCTATGAAGATACGGATGGAAAATGTCCTCCTCCACTGCTGATTTCGTCTGAATGAGAAAGTATATAACCACGCCTTAGTTCCACGTGCGAGACGATCGTTGGAAAATGATGTCGTACCTGCGGTACTGCTATCTCAACCCAAGCCTTTCCGTATTCTCCTCGCACCAAGGCGGTCGGCAAGTGTACCCTATCGGCGATCACTTTAAAGAGCAGGGCTCTCTCGAAGTACGAACCGACTCGAAGCATTCCAATCGGAATCACGCTGGTCTCTATGCTGTCCTTGATCTCCCTCAGGTGAATCTCTAATTGGTGATCGACGCACTTAATGAGAGGATCCGGTCCCGACATTTGTTGCACCACGAATTTGGCCAACATCCTAGCACGCGAGGCCACGTAGTTCACGTTCACCACTCCTTGCATCGTCTTCGACATCCTGCGTTTCATTATAATCACTATGTGCACCAGAACTGCATATTAGGACAGTTCTCTTACACGTTCTGCGACTCTGCAGCGATCAGTTTGCATTTGAACAATTCTATGTATTCGTAGAGCTGAGGATCGCACGGGAGTCGACCGAACTTCGAATCCATCGTTAAGCTAATTATCTCGGTGGACAAAAAGACTCCTCTCCTCTGAATACTCTCTGTACTCGCCACTCTGAGGTCTAAGAAGAGCACAACTGTGACGTGTACAATTCTAAAAGAGAATAAGACGAGCGAACACTGTACTTGACAGGTTTAACTTCGAAGAGAGTCCTTCGTCGATGGTCGTCCGACGAGGCCGAATGCAGTTCACCACGTAAATAGGTTCTCGGGGACAGAATTTAAACCGGAAGATATCGTCCAATATCGGGAACCTGATCGAAATTAATTATTAGACCCCAGCCTGGATTTTTATTATTTTCAACGATATCGTACTGGCACACGTTCCTTCGAAGTACGTAAAATCCATCCCTGGTAACGTCGTGCAAGGAAAGTCGTCCGGTAAAAGCAAACTTGATCGGCAAGTGCGACACGAACAGGGCGTCTATGCAAGTATCCCAGGATGGTACGGCTCTCGCAGTCGACCGATTCTTCAGCATGCTGCGATTTTCAGACGAAGCCATTTTCAGATTCTTAATTTCGAAATTTCAGTCGGTGGTTCTCACTAGTGAACGTATCTGGCCGAGACGAACGCGTTCGCTAGGACCGGATCCATGCACAGTAATTGAATCAGTTGAGCGGCTGCGTTCCTTATCGGAATAGATTTCACGTCGCACAGTAGATTGCTCAATTTATCCGGACCTCTGACTCGCAGAAACTCTTGCCTGCCGCTCTTATCCACGCAGATCACCGAAAGAGCATTACAGCTGGCTATTTTGAAGTCGCTCATCGATATGCAACTCAACTGGCCATCGAATTAGCCCCAGATTTAAAATAAGAATGTACTCGATTAACAAAGGAATCTCGTTAAGATATACTTCGAAAGATGCGCAGAGGGCGTCGATTATATCCGTGGTGATGACAGTGTGCTTGAAAGCTTGATTCCTCGCGATCGTAACGATGCACTCAACGGCGCCGACTAACATCTCAGCAGGCACCTTTTCCGATCGCCTCAACAGCCACAACAGATGATTCTGATTACGAACGCCATGTTCTAGAGATATTCTCTACCAGGATAAACGGGCAACGTTACCTGTCCCTGAATATCCAGAAACTCTTGGCAGTTTTTCACGTCGCACTTCAGCAGTTGATTCAACGCGAACAGGGCTGCTTGCCTGGCCGACCACGTCGCGTTCTCATTCCTCAGAACGTCTAAGCCACAGATCAATCGTATCAACGATCAAGGTACTTCCAGTAAATTGAAAATCGTACCCAGAACGTTTTTCACGCAGTTGCTGGCAGTTATCTCCTTCGCGGCTTGATTGTATAGAGTCATCATACCGATACCGTGGCAACTGGTCTCGTATATATCAGCCTGCACGCTGCCAATTAACGTTTGCACCAGGTAATCGACGATTCCATACATGTACAGCGCCTTCTCGTGTAAAAAATTGTGCTGAATACAGTTTCTCAAAAGTAAAGTTTTGAACATGTCGATCGGCGTACCTTCCTACCCCTGGACGTGTGCGACAGGCAAACGGCCACGTCGAGGGCTTCCTTGAAAAGCGTCGGATCCGACGCATCTCCTAGATACTTTAATATCTCTTTGATGCCGCCGATATCGTCGAAATATTCAACCGTCCTCGGATTGTTGCAGGCCAGCCGTAGAATCTCCAGGGCATCGGTATGAACGTCTTCGTATTCAACGTTCTGCATCAACACACGAACGTGTTTTACTCATTCGAAAGCTGGTAAAGAAACCAGAATGTCTAACGTTTAAAAACTCCAATAGGGCCTGGAGACCGTTCGTTCGCCGGAAGTGCTCCTGCACATAATCGTCCTGGTTTCTGCGAACCAAATCTCGCACCACGTTCAGAGCGAGTTTCTTGATCTCCGGATACGGTGAACCGTAAAGAGCGTATACAATCTCCAAGTTGAAGTTCTGCAATTATTTTTCATTTCACTACTTGTTGAACGTGGAATGGAGTTTCCAAGAGAACCTTAGCCTCGATGACTTTCTTGGTAGCCACAGGATCTTGTAACAAATTGTATATTATTTGCAAAGCATTCTTCTTCACGTCTGGATCCGGCGATTGGATTCTGTCGTAAAGGAAGTTCATATCCGAGCACTGCTTCAACAACTGTGCCGCGCCATATAAATCGTTCGAGATTACCGATAGGATCAATGACGAGAATTCTTGCATGAACAGGTCTTCCTCGTTGATCAGGACTCTGGTGAAGTGCGGGATGTAATAATCGGAATCCAATAAGAAATTGCGGACATTGGGGATCGCTACCATCTCAGCCAACAGTTTTGTTGCGAATCTGTTCGGTCAATTAAATTGCTATATAAGAAGTAGAAAGGATACAGCGAACCGAATAAAGAGATGAATCCCTAAAGTCAAAAACCTTCGAGTAAACAAGTCCTCGTGCGTGATCAATGGAATCACGCTGTCTACGATGTCCAAATCGAACAGAACTTCTAAGTTCTCCACAGATTTCCCGGCAAACTTTGCCAAAGCGGCCGCCGCGGCTAAGAGGATCGGTTTCTCATCGCATTGAAGCAACAGTATCGCAGTTCCAGGATATTTTGCCTCTAGACGAAGAGGATCGAACTGGTTTTTCGTTTGCTGTTCGCGATCCACTCGGTCCTTGCCAGTCTCCACACATTTCTATACGCGATGCAAAGTGTTCCTTCATTTGGGAAAGAGACTGGGACAAGCTCGTGGTTCTCTAGCGTTACCTTTCCACGTTTGGGTCCCATGTTGCCTTCACCGAAAATGCCCTATTATTTATGGTTACCATAGTTCGCGGACCTCTGAAACGGACGCCCATTACGATATCTAATGAGTATCGTTTATCGTTTCAAGTTTCGCGTCGAGTAAGTATACTGAAACTAAACAGCAACTACGAGCGATCTTTCATTTCCAGCCTTTTGCTTCGCTACGTCTGAATATTGGAAAAAATAAACTTACTTTCAGAATCATTCCTGCTTCGCAGTCTCTCATTTGTTTTACTTAGATAGTCACGCTTTCGATTCATCCTGTTATCTGAATCTGTTCTGGAGATACAGGCTTCCGAAATTTAGGCTTTCGACCATGCTTTCGGCACAGTGACCTAGTGTCAACTCGACCGGTGAGTCAACCGGTCAATGTGCGAACACTGCGAACAGGACAAGAACAGCGGCGCCGAAGAAATTGTGCTTGTCTTTACACGACGATATCTCCTGAACAGAAAGTTGGCTTAAAATGAATCAAACGGCATTTTAAAGGAGGAGCCTTGATGTGGATGATGGGAAAAGTCGATTAACCACAGATAAGGAGCGCTATAGACTGCGAAAGAGATAGATTGAGCGTAGCATGTAGCATCGCTTATTGCATCTATGAATCATATTCTGGACTTTGCTTGGGAGCTCGACTTTGTTCGACTTTGTTCGACTTGTTGATAAAAATGTCGACTGATAATAGAGGTTTGCTTATTTTTTCATTTTGTCCTAACGTCAAATGTGCAGTCTGCAGTCTTGTCGTATCGTGCACAGTGTATGAGTGCTTGGAGACGCTTTCGATTAGCAATAATTTCGATAAATTTTGAGAGTCAGGTGATCGGGCCTTGACATTTGCATGTGATAAATGTGCAAATTATAGTACAATCAAAATGAACACCGAAGAAATAATCGATTTCTCAAAATTAGGTAAGCGTAACAATATATTTTGTTCTCATTCCACAAGCTCGTTAAACGTCATTGCCAATTGCCATTTGTACATATGTGTCTCAATGACGATTAAATTCGTTCGCCACGATTCCTCTTCAAATTGGCTTATCGTACATTATAACCAAACGTACGAAGTAATATGACGTGACATCGATTTCATCTTCTTCGGATACCAGCATTTTTTTTTACGTTTCCTCGCTCATGGTGCACCTAAAAATAAGTACATGAACAGACGATCGTTATTCCAATGAACGAGGATCGAACGTTTACCAATATTTTGTAGAACCGACTATCCAGACACTGATAAGGAAGAGTGTGCAGGTTCGCGAGCATTCTTATTCGCCTTACAGTAAATTTAAAGTCGGAGCTGCAATACTGTGCGACGATGGGACCATTTTCGCCGGATGCAACGTAGAGAACGCCTCGTACCCTGTCGGGACGTGTGCGGAGAGAGCAGCTATTGTCAAAGCTGTGTCAGAGGGGAACAGAAAGTTCAAGGCCATGGCAGTGGCAGGTGAGAAGACGAACGACACTTTCACCACTCCCTGCGGATTTTGCAGGCAGGCCATCGCAGAGTTCGGCGATATACCAATTTATATGACAGGGCCTGAGCTGGGGAACGTACTGAAGAGTACATTGACGAACCTGTTGCCTCGTGCTTTCGGTTTGGGAAGTGTACAGACACAAGAATGAATTGTACAACGCGTAAGAGCTTAACGGTATACATACATTGGTGTAACATAAATTTAGAACATTCCCTTGACTTTGTTATTCGTTTTAATTCACCAAATCTATTTTGTTCGTTTGTCTCGTGACAAGACATTGGTTGATCTTATGAGTCAAAGTGTGCAGTCAATCGTTATATAAATTTTTAACGCACGGTGCAATGGTAAAAATTGAAATCGAGTCAGTTCTTTATACAATGAATACAAAGACAATCGGTAAGAAAAAAATATTGTTACTGTAGTCTTAGCTTCCTGAGTAATTCATTCTCTCTTTCAAGTTTACATAAAAAAATGTAATTGTTTACCGTGCGGCTTTCAACGTGCGCTCATCCTAATGTACATTGTACTTTATAAGCGGGATTATAACATGAACATTATATACAATCAATGTAATAATATAGCTTATATATGTACAGTATGCTCTAATTATAAGACGTTATGTATATAGTTATACCTTAATAATAAAAAATGCAAAAACAGGAACGAGACTGCGTATGATACATGTTCGGGTCCTCGCCTATCGGAGTTTAGATTTACCAGAAGGGGCACCTGTAATCAGATATCAGTGTCACCAGCGAGTTTACAGAATGCGTGCAACGAATAATTTATAGGACATATCGTTCGGCCGATTTTCTAAAACGAAATAATAAATGAATACCATCCGATGTAGCATTGGCACAGATTCTCGTTGTTCGTAGCTTGCTGAATTAAAAGATCGACTTGGCGTTGGACACTGAGCGTTTCCTCGTGAGAGAAATCGCGTCCCGTTAATTTATCTCTCACTCGTGTTATAATGTCGAGAGCTTTTTTATTCAATGCCTCGGGTTGGTTAGTATCACCTGGAACAGCGTTCGTTTCTTACCTCAAATGAAACAGAATTGCGAAGATCAAACTGATTTACCTCCATTCTCGACGCTGCATGGCACTCCTTTCTTTGGTAACGTCGCAGCGAGAGAATCGAACACGTCGCTGTGCTCTTGATTGCTGCTGGCGCTCATCCCCTGGGTATCGGACCTCTTAATTTTGATTCTTGCCTTCATCGCGGCGTTGTCCATTAACCGCCAGTTCAACAACGGATCGTAAACGAACGCTTCTAACACCGCCATCAAACTGTCTTTGTTACGGTGCAACACGGACATCACGGATTCGCAAGTTCTCCTATACGTGCCCTCGATCCCCGTCACTTCCATCGCGTTGATCAACATTCGCGTTAAACGAAACGGTATCTTTTCCGGGAACTTCTCGCGGGTCATCGCCACTTCGAAGCAATCGCCGAAGTCGATGTGCAATATCTTTCCGCTTAAACGATCCAACATCAGATTAGACGGGTGCCGGTCGCCGAGACCGAGGATATATCCAACCATTGACATAACGGCGAGAGAGCGGGTATAATTTGTCCGACGATCGAACCACACCTCGCTCGAGGGCGATTTTAACCAGAGCAACCGCGCCAAATCGTCGCCGTGCGTGTGCTCGAGCGCGTGTTCGAACACCTCGACTTTCTGCATCAGCATTAGATGATCGTAACCCGGAGCCATCTGCAAATCGAGTCATGATTCTATTTCGTCGTTCTAATAAATATCGTCGCCAATAATATCTATTGATACTTACTCTTAACATTATCTTATGTTCTATATTTAACAATATTTTCTTCTTTTCCCTGTAGTCTCTGATCAACGTGTGTAACGTGTCACAATGTGGTACCCAGCCGATGAGGCCACTGTTCGTAGACAGTGGAATCACAGCATACCTCTAAAAATCAGATTTAATTCGTACGAAGCATCGTAAAGAGACAGTATTATAAAGATTGACATGCTCACTTGGATCGTAAGATTTCTTCTGAAAGTGTCTGGGTCGTGCAAAAGCAGAGTATTGACTAGACCAAATAATTGCATCACTCGTTCATCTTGTCTGAGATCTTCGTGCCCTTTTAGCAGGAACATGTAATCCTTACCGTTGCTGCCTGCGGATATTATTCTATCAGAACCACGATCCTAGTACATCATACGCCGAATGTAACAACGAGTTTACCCTTTATACACAATTTTCGCGGTCGCTGTTTGCTCGTTATCACTTGCATGGAACTATGTATACTAGCTATCCTAACTATAGGCTGGCCAGGACTGTAGCTTCCCGGCACGGCCAGTTCTAAATCTCTGCAGAGTAGCAACTTCGGGCTGACGTACTGCAGCTCCAAGCTGGTCAGCTGTGGCAATTGTCGGGATATCCTTCTGAACACGTGGTAGTACAGATCCCAGGCCTGGTTCAAGTCGCGGACGTTGCGCGAGGTCTTATACCTGCGACACCATTCTTGCGCCTCCATCAAGTCCCTCCCGTAAGCCTGGTTGAACGAGGTCTCCTTCAAAGTCTGCGGACCTCTCTCCAACATCGCGTGCAGTGGTTCCAGCGTGTCGAACATCCCCCGAACGTTCCTCTCGCCGAAATACAACCGACTGGCTTCCTCCAGGCCCTCGTGCCACAATTCGTGCCAGAGAATCGCGACTCGGATCAGTTCGTCGCTGGCCATTATCGCCTGTTGCACCAGAGTCGGGCTGTGCTCGCACATACTTTTCAAGATCTTATTGGCAGCGGTCTTCCTGGCAAGGCTGGCGCTCTTCGACGCGACGGTCAATGGGTAGACCAACGCTTGGGGATGGGTCTTCCCGATGTCTATCAAAAGATGATGTATGCATCGACCGACCAAAGCCCTGGGCGTGTCGATTCGCGCTATAAGCTGAGGGATCACTTGCAGCCAGGTGTTGATCTTTATCATCCGAATACCTTCTGCGATAGCCTCGTACACCTCGGGCCATTGACCATAGTCGAACCATAACGTCAACAAACGAAGCGTGTCTTGTAAGGAATTGCCGTCAGAGAGACTGATAGATCTAAAGAATCCCTCGACCGCTGGCACGGTGAATCGGGATATATATTGAGAGCTGGAGAGATTGCTTCGATTCCCATTGGCGGGCGTACTGTCGGCGTTCGAATCGCCCTGCTGATGCTTGTAAAATAAAACTGTTTCATAGTTGGTGTACGCGAAGGCGTGCCACGCTTTGTACCAAGTGGGATCGTGTTCCGTGGCTGCAGCATAATAGGACAACACCGCCGGTATAGAATGTTCGTTAATGCCTTGTAAAGCTTCCAACCATTCTCCGAGCTTTAAGTAACACTTGGCGAGCAGCCTCTTTTTCGCTTCCTGTTGCTTCTCGTCTTCCTGACCATTGACCACCGACACAGTCGTCGGTTGCAAAGAGGTTTGCACGAATCTCTGCAGCTGGCTGTACGCTTCCTCGCGCTTGTTCGCCATCCACATGTGCTTGCAGTAGGCAAAAGTCACCTGGGGATGAGTAGTCGGCAGCGGTTGGTCTGGTGTCAACGACGGATCGGTTCCAAGCAGCATGACCAACGTTTTGTGACATAACATGAGGCTACCGTTCTTTCTACAGAGGCTACCGTACTTAAGCCACGTGTACATATCGTCCTGAGGCGAGACCACGAGCGTGTGAACTTGTATGATCCTCTGCCAATCCTCGACTATCCTTTGCCCACCCTGAAGCCTCTCCCACCACATCGACTTAATCGTGGTCCTTCTTTCCGGCACCAATTTGAACTGTATCACTTCCTCCAACTCGGCCAACTTCTGCACCTCCACCATTGCGTTGTAAGCCCTCTGATAGCTTTCACCGGCCATCGCGGTCAGTTCGGTGTCCAACAAATCTCTCGCACTGTCGATCAATTGATGAGCGACGTTGTACTGTTCGTCGTGGATCGCCAGAACGGCTCTGTAAAAAGCACCGTCTTGAGTATCTTTCGGTATCAGGGAAACGTATTTCTCCATGCTCTCCCACTGGCTCAAACCCCATGCCGCAGCCGCTGCCATCCTGGCCATTCTCTGTTTCGTCTCGTCCGCTTGTTGCGACCACTGCTTGGTGGCCACGTCGTGCAGCTGTCCCCATTCTCCGAGAGCTTCCAAGCAACGCATCTCCCCTAAGGTCGATTCCACGTCCGTCGAGTTGCCTTCCAGTCTTTCTCTATACAACTGCAAAGCTTTGTCCCAGTTATGCAGCTTCTCGTACCATCGAACTTGCACCTTCAAATCCTGCTGATTACTCTGGTTCATAACGTATTCGAGTAAACCTTCCGCAGCCTCCTTCTGCTGAAGTTTGTTGTTGATAGAGATCAACGACTCGAACACGTTGCTGTTCCGACTCTTATGGAATTCGTCCTCCTTGTAATGCAGCGCTTTCGCATAAGCTCTGCAGTGCATCGCCCTCTCGCCTAAGATCTTGTTGTCCAAAGGCAACGGGCCTTTGTCGCAGTGCTCCATGAACTCGGCCAAGTTCAAAATCGTCTGCGTTATCTCTGGTAGATCGGGGACCATCAGCGCCTGTTGTAACGTCTGAATAAGCTCCGTTTTGTAAGTATCGTCTAGTTCGGTCCAGCAAGAGACGAACGCGGCGTTGAATAAGTCTCTGGGCAATTGGGAATAAGTTTGCGCCAGTGCCCAGCAGGATCTCAACGCGGGAGACGGGGATTCTTTCAGCAAACCGATCGACAAGCTCCTCAACCATTCCAGCCAGTCGTCCTTCGAGACTCTCCTCGTAGCCGTCCAAGCTTTCTGAAGATTCGAAGCCGACACGTGTAATCGTTTAATCGTGGTCGTGTCCGACGAAGTAAGGGACAAATCGCGGTTCTTGTTCCTCGAGTGTCGGTGTCTCATTAACAGATAGTCTTCGCCGTCAGCGACGGTGGTCTCTGTCAAAATTTTATCGATTAGAACGTCGTAATGCGAATTAACAATCTTATGCTTCGTCATAACTTTTTGTACTAATAAGATAAAGATCTGATATTTTTTCCCTAATTGTATGACCAGCGCGCAGAGCGTGTCCATCGCCATGTTACGCAGTTCTGGACACTGATCCAGCGTTCGTACCAACGGGTGGACGATTCTCGACGCGAAATCGGTGAAGTCCAACGTATCGGCCAGATGGTCGACGGTCTCTAGGGCCACCTTGTTCACGGTTATCGGGCAATCGGTCGCGTGGAACAGTTTCACGATCGGCGGAAGGACCAGGTGAAGGTAATTGTCCAGATTGTTGCCGAACTTCTGCAACGCCTGGAGAAGCTTTACAGTGACCGATCGGTCTTTGCTCGTGTCGTGCATCAACACCCTCAATATCTGCGGCATCAACTGCGGAAGGTAAATCTTGAATTCCGCGCCGAGCGCGACGGCGATATGCTCGACCAACAGTATCAACGTGCTCTGCAACGGACTGTTCACCGTCCAGAATTCCTTGATCAAATTAAATATGTCGTCTAAGTAATTCCTGATGTGCTGCTTCACGATCGCGATCAGAATGGCCAGCTGCTGGAACAAGTACTCGCGAAAGTTCACGTCCGCCGTGCGCACTACGTTCAGGAAACAGGGCATCACCTGCGAGATGTACGGCACGCATTTGATCCCTAAGCTCTTAAATATGAACGTCACCGCTTGAACCACCATGGTGTGATGTTGCGACAACGTCGGATCGCGGATTATCCTCATGAGCGTCGCGATCGCAATGGCCGGGTAATACTCTTCCAACGTCGACGAGGACATGTTCACCAGCATCTCGCTCGTGGTTAAATCCTGGGTATTCTCGGTTTCGCTTTTGGTGTCTGCCATGGAAGTCAGGGTGTCCAATTGAGAATCGATCTGACCCAGGTTCATCTTGTGTTTGTACGGATCCAAGGCACCTAGCAGTCCGAGAACCCTTATAGTCTCCCTCCTGATGATTGGTTGTTGCTCAGTTTTCAAAAAATTGATCAGCACGTCCAGCAACGAAGGATACTGCATGTACGGTTTTACCACGTGCCCCGTGCTACCGACTAATTGACCGAGAACCCATAAGGCCACTCCTCTCTTCTCCGGGGAGCTCGCGTCGACCAGCATCTCGAGCAATATACTGAGAAGCTCAGGCATCCACTGCTGCATCTCAGCACCGTTGACCTCGGCCAAGTCGCCGATAGCTCGCAGTATGGCTAATATCACGCCTGGGTTCGACTCGGCTTCCTTCAATTTCGGCACGAGAACTTTCAAGATCGGCTCCATGTACGGTCGAATCAATCTAGGCGCGCTGACGACCAGATGGTCCAACATCCGCGCGGCCTGTTCCTTGTTACGACCCATGCCCGAGTGTTCCAGCTCCGTTAAAAATTGTATAAGCGTTTTCCGAAGGGAGGGCATCACGTACGCCGGATTCATCGTGCTCAATCGTCCGATCGTTCGGATCGCTAATTCTCTGATCTCGAACATCTCGTCGTTCATCGCGATGAACAGCGCCGACAGATTCTCCGCTTGCGCTAGGTGGATGTCGAACGAATCGTCCATGGAAGCTAGAACCCAGAGCCTGACGTCGGGATCTGTGTCCGTTATGCCTACAACAAGCAATTTCCCAAGAACGGTAGACACCGTGTTAGTGACCGTAGGCCCGGGTTGGTTCAACGCTAATCGTAACAATCTCGAACACGTTCTCACAGCCTCCAGTCGTACCTCGGCTTGTTCGGACGTGAGGAAATGATCGGCGCACCGCCTCACGAATTGCAACAGAGGGTTACCGTCGAAATTGAACGTTCCGAGAGTCTTCAACGCTAGGACCGTAGACGGGATGTCCACTTCGGTCGGCGGGCCAGACATGGGACTGGTCGCGGTCCACGGAGCGCCGGGGTGCCTCAGCGGTTTCTGCATCAAAACTTGCGACATCATTCGCAAAAGCCCTTGAGATATGTCGGGTTTCAACGATGGGACGCTGTGAGCCAGCTCCCTGAGAGACATCGTTAGAATAGGGCTCAATCCAGTTTGGAGCATCGGTTCTAACAGGTCCTTCACATCCGCGGCTATAACTTGTTTTACCGCGTGACCAAGCAGAGTTATGCAGACGAACACCGCGGGCTCCAAAGATGCTCCGCGTTTCTTCGTAGACGTTTCCTTGGAAGGTAGCAGGCTCTTGATCACTCCCATGATCATCGGGAGGAAAGGGTTTATCGCATCCCCCACTGCGACTGCTATAAATCCTATCGTGGTGAACGCGGCGTATCTGTCTTTCTCTCTACTGCGTAAAGTCATCAGAAGGTAGACCAGCGACTCGCTTAAAGGCTCCTTCGTGAATTTCTCTTTATTAAACGCCGCGAGTCTAGGCAATAGCATCATCAGAGCATGTTGGATGTGCGGGTTCCTGGACTTCCTCTGATTCATCACGTCGAAATAGATATCGTCTAATCTCTCCTGCATCAAACAGCGGCAGACAGCGGACTCGTGCGCTGGATATAACGTTTGCTGCGAGCTCGAGGAGTTTTGAGAGGAGACCGACCATTTGGATACTATCGTCGTCTTCAATCGGGGCATCAACGATAATATATCGTTCTCGTTTTGTTGAGTGGAACAGTTCAACCGTTCCATCAGAGCTTCGTAGTTTCTCTCCCACTGAATATTGCTGCATCTAAGTAATTCGTTTAATATTAACAACGAACCGTGTATTCTATCGTCCCGGTTCACTCCCTTCTCTCTGGTGTACCCCTCCTCGAAACCCTCCACTATCTCGTCGTAACACTGTTTATACCATTGCGACTTGAGCATCTGTTTCGCCGTTTCTCTCTGCGCAGTCACGACTAAAGCAGCCCTCAACGCTTCTACGGCACCTTCTCTTATCACAGGCTTTGGATCGCGTATAGCATTAAATATAAGTTCGAAGAACGGTGTGACTTGTTGAAAAAAATATGTAGGCATAGAAACGGCCAGTTCTCTCAAGACGAGAACAGCCGCGTGCCTTTTTCCTTCGTGTCTGTCGCCACCGAGCCATTCGAAGGCACGCTTCACTTCGAACTCTACGTACTCCGCCGTGTAAGTACCAGAAACTAACGCCAGTTTACCAACTGTTTTAGCAGCTAATTCCATAACGCCCACATCGTTCGAGGGCAATAAATTCCTCAAGTAATTCGCGAATCTTATCGTCCTCGTGTTGATGTTTCCCACGTCAGCTCCGATAAGGCAAACTATGGCTAAGATTCCTCCCTTCTTCTCGTTCACGTCGGATCCTGACACCATCTCGAATATATGGTGATTGAATTCGTCCATAAAAGCAGTGATCTCTTCCTGCGACACCTCCCGCAGTTCCGTCTTGACGTAGAGACACAGGTCCCTAGCCGCTTTATTACGTGCCTCTTCATGTCTTGATTTGAGCCTCTGGACGAACTGTTGTACGAGCGTACTCGACATCGTTAAAACTTTACAGACGCCGATTTTACAACATTAATTCTAGAAACCTTTTCGCAATGATATCTATAACAGACAAGAAGATGGGGAAATAAACGTGACGTCTTCGAACGCCGAACAGGGTTAAGGGCAAGAGTAAATCGGTGCTCTCTCTCCCATACCTATCTGACATCACACGAATTTCCCATTACGGCACAACGTTTTCGTGATTGTCATGACTGGTTGAATTTTCTTGGCGAATAAAGTTCCAATGCATTTCTTATCACATTATCACGGCGAGTCGTCTGTCACCTAAATCTCTCATGTTTTCGACGAACGCTCAGCCGATCGCGAGTCGCGTATAGGAATCCACGAGCCAAGACCTGTGTGCCATACACGCACGAGCGACCGGTTTAATTCAATGCCATTAATTCTGTGAACTTCTAGCGATTATTAGAAAAATAACGATACGTTCTTCTGAAGAACTTATCTCAAGTATACACAACCTCTACGTTGGTTAACACAGTCTGTTCCAACTAAATTGTGCGCTTTCCCCCACTCGTGCACGCGTGCACTATACATTCGCTGTTATACTTCGATTCGAACAAGATTTTCCATAGACAGCGAGCATCATTTTTAAATCGTACAATGTGTCGTTCTTCAAAGGTAAAATAAGTATTTCGGACGTGAATGCAGTATCGAATTGATATTACGTCACGGGATTAAAATAAATGCGGTATTGTAAAATCAAAACGTATATTTGCTCCTCTTCGAGTGTTGCGATGATGATACGATGACGATGAGTAAATTACACTTTTAATTCTATACAAGTTATGTATAATCACATAGGAGGCAAATATATAAGTTGCACTTGCAATACAGTAACAGGAATAATCATATGAGAAAAGGTTATGCTTAACTCTGAGTAAAAGTGAGTGTTCCAGCATTAAATTACGATGATCGTACGAATTCATTCATATCGTTCTTCTAGCCACGTGACTGTACTATTACATATTTCTTCCTGCACACAGCTGATCAAAAGGAATCTATAGCTATGGAATACAAAAACTTATTGTCGATAAATATAGGAACCATTTCAACGCACGTTTTATAAACAGAAGCTAATTGAAAATATACATTGCACAGTGTTAATAGATTTAATACATTCGACTGATGTATTATTCATTTGAAAAGTGTCATAACCTGGGGCGGCCGAGGATGATCGACGAGTCTTAATGACTCTTCATTTTGTGAATAACTTAGTTCATAAGTCGCTTGAAACATGACACTGATCTGGAGATTATGCGTGAGAAATTTTGCTTTTCAAAAAGTGAAGTTCTCTAAATCGTCCATCGCCCGTAGACAATTATTTTACACGTGTTCATCGCCGTCGATCAGGATCAATGGGAAGAACAGCGTATTCACGATTCTGAGATGTCACGGGACGAGTGCCGTAGAAGCCAAGAGTTTAAACGCTTCTGTACGAATTGCTGCGAAGCGGAAAAGAACGTCAGAATTGAAAAGCCTGATCGCGTTAGCCGTTCCAGAGAAGTGGAGACTGTCCGGCGCGATCACTTTTCTGATTATTTCGTCCGCGGTGACGATGGCAGTGCCGTTCTGTTTAGGAAAATTGATAGACACCATTTACACGACCGATAAGAAGGACGTGGAAAAGGATTTGAATCGACTATGTGTCATTCTGTTCGGAGTATTCCTCGTCGGAGGCTTGTGCAACTTTGCCAGAGTGTATCTGATGTCCACCACTGGACACAAGATCACGCAATCTCTAAGAAAAAAACTATACGCTGCCATCCTTCGTCAAGAGACAGCAATGTTCGATAAGTGCAATACAGGAGAATTTGTTGGCAGATTATCTGGTATGCGACGTTTATCGAGGAATTGTCTCTTCTGCTTCGCTTTCACTTATCAATTCTCTGTTGATTCCAGGAGACACGCAACTCGTCAGTCACGCGTTGACCAGTAACATATCTGATGGATTGCGATCTGCCTTCATGAGCATCTGCGGGGTATCAATGATGTTTTACACCTCCCCTAAATTGGCGATACTCGGTTTAGGGATAGTGCCCCCGGTGGCTGGCTTGGCCATAATATGCGGTCGTTTCTTGAAACAGATCTCCAGAGACATACAAGACAATCTAGCAGCGTTGAACACGATAGCCGAAGAGAAGATAAGCAACATAAGAACGGTGAAGGCATTCGCCAAAGAAACGACCGAAGCGAATTACTACAATTCCCGGTCGGACAAGGTGCTTGAAGCTTGTACCAAGGAGAGTTTACTCAGAGGAATGTTCTTCGGGTTAACCGGATTCTCCGGGAACGTTATCATACTTTCGATTTTGTATTACGGCGGAGGCATGGTCTCCGATTCTTCTCTAACAGTTGGGAACTTGAGCGCGTTCCTAATGTACGCCGCGTACGTGGGCATCTCGTTGAACGGATTGTCCTCGTTTTATAGCGAGTTGAACAAAGCGTTGGGCGCGAACACGCGGTTAGTCGAGTTGCTCGAAAGAGAGTCGATGATATCGACGCAGGGTGGTAAAATCCTGGATAAGCCGCTGTCAGGTGATATTCAGTTTCAGAACGTCAGTTTCGCTTATCCTAGCAGAGAGAGTACATGGGTTTTGAAAAATTTCAGTTTAAGTATACCGAAGTGTATGGTAGTCGCTATCGTCGGAGCGTCAGGTTCCGGAAAATCTACGGTAGCCTGGCTCTTATTGAGACTCTACGATCCCAATTTGGGAACCATACTTTTAGACGATCATGACCTTAAGTCTCTTGACCCAGTATGGGTGAAATCGCAGATCAGCGTCGTTTCTCAGGAACCGGTGCTCTTCAGCGGCACGATAAGAGAGAACATATTGTACGGCGTCGAGGATTCGGTGAAGTACGACGTGGAGAAAGTCGCGAGCAGCGCCCACGTCCTGGAGTTCACGCGGAACATGCCGGACGGTCTAGACACCGTCGTGGGTGAACGGGGCATCACTCTTAGCGGTGGACAGAGGCAGAGAGTCGCTATTGCCAGAGCTCTGATAAAGGTAAACACTTCGGAACGACGATCGTAGGATTGAGTGTTAATATTTTGGAATTGCATTGCTCGTAGGAGCCTAAAATTCTGATCTTGGACGAGGCCACGAGCGCATTGGATGCCGAGAGCGAACACTACGTGCAAGAGGCTTTAGAGAAAGCTGTTCAGGGACGGACCGTTTTGACCATAGCTCACAGATTGAGCACGATTAAAAACGCGGACAGGATCGTGGTTTTAAACCAGGGCCAAGTAACGGAAACTGGGACGTACAAGGAACTCATGGGCCTGAAGGACAGCTACTTCAATAAGCTGGTTCAACACCAAACGTTCACGTAGATTTTGCTGTTACGCTAATTGTTGCTTGCTGTATAATAAAACTGTGTGTGCATATATGTACATATTGGTAAATGCTTCAACGGACCAAACTAACGCGACAGAGGCGTATGTAAACGGATTGAAAACCACATTTGTAATAAATAGTTAATAAATTTATTATTTAATTTCGGAAATACAATGTGTTATTCATTAATCCTCTAATCCATTAATCATACTTCGTGACGCCTTAAGAAATCTGTAATAAATAACACTACAAAAGCATCCGCACGTTTAAGGATGTATTGGCTATATAGTCAATACTAAAAGTTCGTGTACCTTAGAAAAACGCATTTCCTATAATTAAAAATAGTGTATTCTTCTTCTAATTTCGATATTTAATGAGTTAAGTATGATTATTTGGTATTTTATTGATG